AGAAAACTCTCAAAAACGTTGTAGGCTCTCAATATTCTCAACAAGGAGGAATCTCCAAGAAGAGATCCTTCCTCACTGGCAGTCAGCACTTAAATGAGATCGAGGAGAGGTGGAGCCAGGCTCCACCCCTTCTGGTAGGGCAGGTGAATTACCTTCACCTGCACTCCCATGGCTGACTCATTGCTTGCCTCAGGTGATCAATTAGAGGTCCAGGCCATGATACAGCAGTTCCCATACAGAAGCCGTGAAAATGTAAGCTTCAAAGAATCAAAATCAGAGGAGAAAACAAACATGATGCTGATAGAACAGTGGCAATGAATTCTAGCAATGTTATAGGTAACATCTGGTCTTTTGCTTTTCTCCTCTCTAGACTACTGTTGCTAACTGAGCTTGAAACTGTAACACTACGTTAAACAGATCTTTGCTCCAACCCAATACCAAAGTTGTCCAACAGATTGGGAGAATTTTAAAGAGAATCCATGTCACTTTGTGAACCAATAGTTTTAAAAGGGTTTTTTACTGAGGAAAGATCCTGAAGGCATTAGCAATGAAAACTAACCTTGGAAGAGAGATGGCTGGATATTGCTGACGTACTGGAATGCATTCTTAAAGAAGACCAACATTGTAGAATACACTACTTGATTCTTGTATTTAGCATGAGCATCACTATCAAAGTTACTGATGTATCTGCAGAGGTCTTTCATTCTATGCAAAATATCTCCAAAACTTCTGAGAAAGAAAGAAAAAATTAGCATGTTACACAGACCAAAAACTAAAGCAAACAGTTCACACTGAATGTGAAAAGCTTGATGTTTTCACTCAGGAAATCTCAGCTGCATGTCAGGGAAGTCTAGGGACACATCCCAGCGAAACTTCAGTAAATATTCACCTTTTAATTTGTTGTGGCACCTAGGAAAGGACATCCCACACTACTGTCATTCTTATGTATGACTTTAGTCAACAAGGATATAGTTTAGTAATTTGAAAGGGGCTCACATTTTTACTTTACATTATACAGTTTTGAAATAAATCTGCGCTGAATTTACAGAAAATCTTTCCTCATGTTAAAGTCCTTTTCTGACTCATCTGCTTAAGGATTAAGATCAATCTTCCTCAAGAAGGAATACCTGGAAAAGTTAAAATTTCTCACCTTCTTCCTTTTTCCATTTGCCATTCACACCTCATTCCCACCACAGACAATATTTTAAACAGCCTCTCCCACGGATCTGTAATCTGGGATGATTTCTCTGTCAGACCATCTATTATGTATTTCTGAGAGCTACGTTTGCTTGGAGACATAAGATCAGATGAATCTTGTGAACCTATGAAAACAAATACGTTCTTCTCTTTAGAAAGAAATCAAACTAACAGATGTATAACTAAGGAGAAGAGTAAAAAAACACGTTTGAGCTTTCAGGGTAATCAGAGTTGGCAGGTTGGATGAGGACATCTTAGACATTTTGTCCTATCTTTCTCTACGAGATACATTACACTGAAGTGATGCATTTATAAACCTATTTCAGTAACGACAAAATGTATTTTAAGAAAGTCTGATTTTGTAAAAATACTCTTACCTTGATACTGGCTTTCTGTCTGTGTAGATCTAGTTACATAGTTAATATAAAATTCTGCTGCTTTATTCAGGTATTTATATAACAAGCTGGCAGGAAGTCGAACATCAGGGTTGTTAATTATTAGAGGAAGAACATCACAAACTAAAATAGCAAAGAAGCAAAACAAAACCATTAGAGTTTGCGGAATTTTTAAATTCTATTTGTCCCAAGTAAAGTTTTTCAATTAGCAACGTAAATTCCCATCTCTGGCAGACCAAACACCAAAAAGAATCATAGAATCACAGAATCACCAAGGTTGGAAAAGACCTACAAGGTCATCCAGTCCAACCATCCACCTATCACCAATAGTTCTCACTAAACCGTGTTCCTCAGAGCACAGAGCCTAAACACTCCTTGAACACCTCCAGGGTCAGTGCCTGCACCACCTTCCCCCGGGCAGCCCATTCCAGCACCTGACCACTCTTTCAGAAAAGCAGTATCACAAAGAATCACAAAAAACCTCAAATGAATGACTGCAATACCTGTTTGTGGCAGATGGTAATCCTGCCCTAAAGCAGCCTGACACTGTTCTGAATAAAGTGCTTTTCCAATCTTAATACTAAGACAGCAATTTACTTAACTCCAAATTTATCTCACTGCCATTCTATAAGCTTGTACAAAAAGACAAGAATATTAGCGTTTTCTTACCAAACAATTTTCTAAAACAATTCACCGGGGATTCTTGGTCTTCAATATTTTCAGCTTCTAATAATGTTTCTCCAAGGCCAACCTGTGTAAGCAGAGGTAAAAAACAAATGGTGCACCAGTGTTTTTGGAAACTTTTGGAATTGCAATTCAATGGAGATGAACAATCACTGAAAGTAATTCAGTAGGAATTAACTACTTCACTGGATGCATTAGTATCTATGTAGTTAAACTAGCACCATGTAATAGCAGATGAAAAGCAGTGCCAGGCGATAACAAAACCTGGACCAAAAGAATTGTGCCTGTGAGTGTATCATCAAAGACGTGCACTGCAAGGTGAAAGCTACCACACCTTACATTTGCAGCTTGTCACCTGACCTGCGCACTCTTCCTGTTGCGGGTATGAAGTACAATATGTTAGTTCAAGTCAGTTTCAGAACTAACAGGTTTTACAGTCTTCAAACTATGCTTCAATATAAGTACGCCAGTATTTAAAGGGCTCCACCATAGTCTTGTACATCTAAGCAAATGCTCTGCTCTGAGTCTCGTTATAACCTCAAAGTATAACTTTGCCGTCAGTGAGTATTAACTGAAAAAAGCTCAAACAATACTATCTCTTAGACTACAATATTCCTCAACACTCTGTGTGTATGTGCGTTATTCTTTTTTACTCCTCAACACTCTGTGTGTATGTATGTGTGTTTTTCTTCACCCACCCCTGCCCCTTTCCCTCCCCCCCCCCAAAAGCATGGAATATTCACTGCATTTACAAAACAAACAAACAAAACGCTTATTATGAGCTACTCTTACCCCATGTTGTACCACAGTCTCTGGGAAGCGTCGCAGAAGTAGCAGTAGCATTTCTGCCCTTTCTAGTGTGTTAAAACACTGCTCTGTGGCCTTCAGTAACATTTCACACTGCACTCGACCAGGAAGGGTTTCAAATAATCCTTTAAAGAAAAGATACAGTGCAACTCACTGCGTTTGAACTGCAAAGGTGGCTGATTAAGGGTAAATGACAAGGTCAGTGTGACCTTGCTACATAGACTGAAAATATTTCCTTATATTTCTTTCAGTTTTTTAATACCAGAGCCTAAAAAACCTAAAATGCTATCTTTCTGAATGAAGCCTGTAGGAAACCTGTGTTTCTTTGGATGCACTGAACTTAACAAGTAAGAATGCTAATGAGTAGAACAGTGAAAAAATAAACATGTTTCTTCAAGATCTTCATTTAATTCTTCGCTTACATACCACGTCTAACTTCATTACTTTAACTAAAAAGTACCTTTTCCAATTTAAATATTCCATGAGACACAGAAATCAATATATTCTCCCTATAATTTAGATGTATTCCTATGAACTCCATTCCACGAAAATGCAAACACTTCCTCAATTAGAGTAACGTATACACAAAGGGAGACATACTGCTTATTCTTACAGTTTCTGAAGTGCACCTTCAGAGAAGAGTAATATTACAACTAGTCTGGTGTAAACGGTGCCTTCAAAACTGCCCATGGCTGCTGGCAGTGAATGTGAAGACTTCAAGTGCTCAGTCATTTCTCTAGCTTATCAGACTGTGTTTTTTGTACTTGCCCAACTAGCTATGAAACCAGAGGGCTTATCTTTAGGTTCCTTTTGGACTCTCCCTATTCTCGGAGTAAAATCCTTACCCCTTAAAAACTGAGTCTGCTTGTCCTGTGAATCATTCCTCAGCGCTGCTGTAATAACACTGATCTCCCTCCACACTGCAGGCTGGTCCGGAAAGTTCACAAACCTGTAACAAAGTTTGACGCAACGAATGCAGAGTGATCTGAGAACGTGCTGGTAGGACAAACCTCCCCGTGTTACGTACATGTCGTAGAGCAGCCTGCCCGCCGACGCCGTCCTCTCCGCGTTCCTCTCGATGGTGTACATCTCGTACTGCAGGGGGCAAGGACAGCACATTGGCTTCCTGAGCGCATTCATCAATCGCATTATCCTTTCTGCTCCGAGAAAACTGCACGACAACGGACCAACTCAAAGGACACGTGTGTGAATAACGGAAACTGAGATGAAACGACTGCGGCACTGTCTAACCACACGATGTGCAACGTCTGTATGCACATACACGCAGTGATACTAACATGCTGCTTCATTTCTACACAAACAAAACAGCCAGCGAGATCCTTGACTGAGGTTCCCACTCAAGTACAGGGCAGAAACACAATCTACTTCGAAAGGCACTACCGAAGAGGAACTCTAAAACTTTCCGACAGCTGCCATCAGAGTGCGGGGCGGCTCCGCCAGCCTATTAACGGAAACGCCGTGCCCCCGTCACCACGGCAACCGTTCGCCCCGTCCCCCCAGCCCATTGGCCGACGTGCCCGTCAGTCACGCAGCGCCCGCCGCAAAGCCGTGTGGGGGAGCGCCGCGCTTTCATATAGCGCCGGTGCGCTAGCACTCACCTGGATATTGAAGTCGGCGGGATAGAGGCTTCGCGCCGTGATGAGCCAGGCCTTGGCCGCCCATAGATCTCCCGGCACCAGCTCGCGGGCTCGCTTCACCAGAAACTCGCAATCCCCCTGAGCTGACATCTTGCGGCGGAGCGGCGCGCATGCGCCCCGATGCCCCGGGGCGGCCTCTGCCTTCTCTTTTGCCCCGCCCCATCCGGGCGACGCGCGGTTCAGGGCGTGCGCAGGAGCCGGCGTTTTGTGCGGTCCTTCCGGGGCCTTTAGCGATGTTCGCGAGGCTGTGCTCTAGCGGCTTTTCTTTTGCCTTCTCTATAGGCCTTGGTGGGGGTCTTTGTGCTGCACTGGGGCTAGTGAGGTATAGGGACCTTACTGTGTGTGGGCTGAGGGTCAGAAAATGTATCTGTAGTAGGGAAGTGGGAATTAAGAGCACTTGTATGGATAGGGAGGGCTGAAGTACTTGTTGTAGCTCGGGGAGCAGTTTATGCTCTCAAAACTTGTGGCTTATGAGAAACTTTGTGGTACTACCCATTAGCATTTAGAACTAGTGATAGTAGGTACTATAGCGGCTGAGCCAGGCTCAAGAGCTTCTCTTTCTTAGTTTTGTGTGCGGTGTTAAGAATATAATGGTGGCTGGAGTCAACTGATTCCATCTCTAATGTTTACAGCACAGCAGTGCCCTTTTTAAAGTGGATATTGGTGTAAATCAAAGTGCTTTGTAAAGGTCCAAGGCCCTAACAGCACTGCCATCGCTTGTACTGATAAAAGGTACTTGTAGTTGAGAACTAAGGTAACCAGCAGTTATTATCCTCAAAGAGCAGAGCTTTTTCTGTCCATAAGCTGTCCTGGCCTTCAGCAACTTACAGATTTGCTTATCTGTAGTTTATGGTGTTCAGTGTTAAGATGCTTGATTACATGCAGGTGTTCCTGTTACTTATCTAAGTGTAAACTTTTTCAGTGTTATTTCGTTTATTCCTTTCAAGTAGGCCGTTCATTTTTGATGTAACAACAGCCCTTTCAGACTTTGCTCTTGTGAACTTGCACTGCTTACGGCCATATGTCTTTATATCTAGGAGACAATCCCTTCGTTAAATATTTAAAATGGGTGCTAAGTCTCTGAAGCAGATAAGGAGTAACATCCTTTCTGCTTTATTAATTGATGCATTTTTTGCCTCGTTATCAGCTGTTTTATGATGTCTGCAGATCCTCTTGCTATTCTGGTGCAGGTGGAAAAGTGTTTTTGTGGTAGGCTGTCACAAATTTTTACGAAGTTTGGGGGAAGTGTATGGTCCCTGGTGTCATTTTTGGGCTGAGAATGGAGTCATCTGATGGCTGGGAATTTGACTTCTCACCCTCTCTCCTCACTGCTGCTAAATCCTCCTACACCACAGCCACTGCCAGCTTTGTGTGAGGAACGACCCATGCTTTTTGGGTGTGAATCCTATATTGGTTTCAGTCTGTGGCCTCAATGTTGGCCTGTGCTTGTGGAAGAGAACTTGTATATAAAATGCAGCCTTCAGAAAGAGGTGTGTTTGCAAAGGCTCTGCCCTCTGAAGGAGAGAGCTGATTTTAGCCTGACATGGTACTGTCAGTATTTCATGCCTTGTTCTGATTTCCTGCTACTGTGCTAACAAATCCTGATTTGTAGCCATGAAAAATTATCACAGGATTGTCTTGTTGAAAGCAATCGACCCTTTCAGTTTATCAGTTCCCAGCAGTGAGTGCAAGATCCTGTTCTTTGACCCTTCTCTCAGCTCTTTTGTTGAGAGATGTTCACCAGTCGCAATTGGAAGGAGCGCAAAATATGTAATTAATGCACCGTTCAGAGGTGACAGCACAGCAGAAGGTCTGCTGTTGCTCATGAAATGAATGCAGAGCACTTCCTCATCTTTCTTTCCTGCCTCTATTACTCAACCCACAGGCTGCTGTAGGATGGCATTTTACTTTTTGGGCTCAAAACATGACAGTGTGTATTGTGTCTCTTAACGGCCACGGAAGGAGTGATGGGGTGAGTGGTCCTGGCTTGCTCTGTGCTGCTTGTGAAGCCAGAATTAGGATGCCACAAGAGGCAACAGGAGGATAGTGGGTATCAGAAGCTGCTTTTGAAGAAGAATGGGTGTGCGAGGAGTCCCCTGCTAAACATCTGCTTCAGAACTGCACTCAGGTACCAGCTAGACAGAAATTGTGGCGTTTTTGAGTTTCATAAGGAGTCATAAAAGCAGCTAGTTTTAATCAAGAGAGTTTGGAGTGTTGGGTTTAGTAATATCAAAGTAAGAAACAAGGCTTTTCTTGTCTAAGAGGAAAGGGATCACTGTTTTTGGGAGAATCATAGAATCGTAGTTACTACTGTGATAATTTTTCGTGGCTGGAAATCAGCATTTCTTAGCACAGCAGAAGGGAGTCAGAATAGGGCATGGAATAATGACAGTTGCAAAAATACGGGTACTGACTCTCACGTCACAATAGGATTCGTGTTAGAAGTTGCTGAGAACAGAAGCTATTGGTTTTAGCTGAGCAGCTTAGTGGGTTCCATCTCTAGAGATCCCTTCCAAGCCCTGCAGTTCTGTGATTTGGGGCTGTTACTGTGCTCAATTGGAACCGCTGATGTGCCAGTGATTTGACGTACTCATCTTCTATTCCAAGCCTGTGGGTGGTGGCAGGGCTGGGCTAATCCTATCGGGTTGAGACCTGATTCTTCCTCCCCTCCTGGAGTGGCTCTCCCAAGTTCTCATACAGAGTGTGGTGTTTGGATGTGAACAATGCAGGGCACGCTGAAGGTCTCAATATCTTAGCCATCTGACTGGAAGTGTGCACAACCTCCTTCCTGCAGGAATGTGGGACTCAGCTGGAATGCCTACATGAGCCTTGTTTATCAGGAAGAGGCTTTGTGATCTGCTGTAGCAGGAAACTGACAGTGCTGACCTCAAAGCATGTTAGTCATCTGATGCTGTAAAGGTTAGTGTTGCCTGGGAGGATTGTCCTGTTTCTTGAAGGTGTCAGTGGCAAAGATCAAGTGTGGGGCATTCAGGCAGCATTGTTGATACAGTCAGTGCAGGGACAGGCATATGTGGAATGTAAAGGCAGTACTGCAGATCTTGAGCATAGTGCATCAAGTTGTCTGCACTACAGCTGGGACTCTGAATGTGACTGTGACCCTTCAGTCAGTACAGAACTGAAAGTGTTCAGAAGGTGTTAAGCTGGCATTGAACGGTGGCAGAGGACTTGATATTGTCATTCTCCACTTTCTGAATTTCTGCCTTGGTATAATCCCAACAAATGATTATCCATCTGCTGGCTTACCTGATAATTATAGTCCTGCGTGCATTCTTTAGAGATCAAAGCTGGTATTGGCATGGGTAAAGACAATCTGCTCTCCTTTCTAAAGCTGTTGTATCAATATTGAAAAGATATGATAAGCATGAATTTCCTTAGTATTTTATGAGCGAGGTCTTGAAGAAGGGGATTTTTGAGGTAGCAAAAACTATGAGACTGTGTGGAAGATGTTTTGTTTACCATTTTGGTGTCCGTTGGCTTTGTCCAAAGCAATTTCCTACAGCTGGGAGGTGTCTAGGCTGCCAGGGACTGCGAATTTGAGGCTGAGACCAAGTGTCTTATCTCACCCTTGATGGTGAGAGGTAATAGATTAAACTGCTGAGTGATGAACCAGAAAGAAGAGCAAAAGGAGGCTGGGAATCTGTGAGTGGAACTGCATGGGATTGTTGGGATTCAGTGCAGCTCTCTGTAGGCTGGTATCTGTTAATGACAGATGGCAATGTCAGTACAAAAACGTACATTTTTCAGCAGATCTGGTGGCTTCTCATGAGATGGAATAGAGGTCTCTGGTTCTGGGGCTGTCTGTAGTCTTCAGAATTGAATCCAAATTCGGATTTTGAAATGCTAGAGTTGGCCACAGTCCACTTCATTTCTGTAATAGCTGAAAGCAGTTCTTGTTAATTGGCCTAATTTTAACCGAATCACAATAATTTAGGCTGCAAAGGACATCAGGAGGGCATCTGGTATAGCCATGTGCTCACAGTGCAAATAACTGCACTTTTACAGTCCCAAGGTGGACAAAAAAATCCATTTCAGACAAAGCAAATGGGATCAGTTTCCTTCAGCCTGCAGTATGACAGCACTGAGCTGTGTGCAATCTGTATTTATAGTGGGGAAGATTTAGTCAGTCTTAAGAGTGGGTGTTGTTATTATGAGAGATGTCAGAATGCTTGTCTAGCTGTTAGCTTTGGGATGTTGAACCAGACTTGGTTCTCTTCCCTGTGGCGTGGACAGGATTATTAATCATGCTTGCAGTGCTAGTGATGCACTCACACGACACGAGTGACACTAGGGCTGGAGCTTGGCAAGTGGTAAGTTGTCTGGGTGTGGTGTGAGCAGAATGTAGCAGCAGCACATTGGCTGCATCTGTGGTGCACAAAAGGGACTTTGCATTCAGTTAACAGGGCCAAGGCTTAGAAAATGCCATCTTTCATATGTAAATTAATTGTACTTCATTTAAAAAAAAAAACATGTTCTGCTCCTTATGAAAACACTTAAGGGAGGATTTCATTTTAACCTGAAAGTAGCTGAAACAGATCACAGAATCACAGAATCACCCGGGTTGGAAGGGACCTCAAGGATCATGTAGTTCCAACCCCCCTGCCTAGCAGGGCCACCAAACACACACATTCAGATCAGGTTGCCCAGGACCCTGTCCAACCTGGCCTTAAACACATCCAAGGACGGGGCATCCACAACCTCCCTGGGCAGCCCGTTCCAGGGCCTAACCACTCTCCTTGTAAAGAACTTCCCCCTCACATCCAACCTAAATCTTCCCTCCTTCAACTTGGATCCATTTCCCCTAGTCCTGCTGTTGTCAGCCCTTTTGAAGAGTTTACTCCCCTCGTGGGTGTAGGTTCCCTTCAGGTATTGATAGGCTGCAATGAGGTCACCCCGCAGCCTTCTCTTCTCCAGGCTGAACAAGCCCAACTCCCTCAGCCTGTCCTCATAGGGGAGGTGCTCCAGCCCCCTGATCATCTTAGTCGCCCTCCTCTGCACCCTTTCCAAAATCTCAATGTTTTTCTTGTACTGAGGGCTCCACACCTGGACACAGTACTCCAGATGGGGCCTCACAAGAGCCGAGTAGAGAGGGACGATCACCTCCCTGTCCCTGCTGACCACCCCTCTCCTGATGGAGCCCAGGATCCCATTTGCCTTTCGAGCTGCCAGAGCGCACTGCTGGCTCATGTTCAGTCTCTCGTCCATCAAGACCCCCAGGTCCTTCTCTGCCGAGCTGCTCTCAAGGACCACTCCTCCCAGCCTGTACGGGTGCCTGGGGTTCTTCCGGCCCAAATGCAAAACCTTGCACTTTGCCGTGTTGAACCTCATTAGGTTCACCCGAGCCCAGCCCTCCAGCCTGTCGAGGTCCCTCTGAATGGCATCCCTTCCTTCCACCGTATCAATTGCACCACTCAGCTTGGTGTCGTCAGCAAACTTGCTGAGGGTGCACTCAATTCCCTCATCGATGTCATTAACAAAGATGTTAAAGAGCACCGGTCCCAAGACAGACCCTTGGGGGACACCACTTGTTACCGGCCTCCACCTGGACATAGAGCCATTGACCACCACCCTCTGTCTGCGGCCTTTCAACCAATTGCTTATTCATCGGGTCGTCCACCCATCAAATCCACTTCCCTCCAATTTGGAGATGAGGATGTGGTGGGGGACCATGTCAAAGGCCTTGCTCAGGTCCAGGTAAAGATCTAAACAGATGGTTAGGCTCTTCCTGTAGAAGACATATTAGTAAACAAATAATGCAGGGAGGATTTATCTCCTGGACATATTTCCTTTTCTCCTGCTGCCTTCCCCTTGTTCAGGCTCTTAGTATCTCTGTGGCAATTCTGAAAGATCTAGAAATAAAAAAAATATCTATCTATCCAGCCATATGTTAGTCCTGCTTTTAAAACAGCTTTTAATCTGCAGTCATGCTCAGAAGCCCGTTCCTTGGTTTGTATTTGGAGCAGGATCTCTGACCTGTTCTATCCTTCTCCTGCTCCTTGCAGGCTCTTTCTGCACACATCTCACAGGTATGCACAGCCTTGTCACTTGGCATGGTATTCACCTCAGTGTGTTGGTGTCTGTAACCTCCTTTCATTTGAGAAGTCATCCTCGTTTCCCTTTATACTTAGAGATGCCCAGAAGACAGTTGAGCTGATCAGATGATGACATGCTACAGTAGGTCAACCTGCGCTCTGAATGCCTTTGCTTAAGTCTGCACTGATTGTGGAAGAAGGGATTCAGGATGATTTTCTCATATGCAGAGGTTTGTGTAGCAAATCCTTGTATGTGCTGATGGCTGTGGCTCTGTTCATCTCTAGCCAGGTTGCTCAGTTCCCATGCTCTTGTCACAGTAAATACGCTGCCTCACCCTCTGTTGTCCTGTGGTGGTCATTCCCAGGAGGGGGATTAACTCACCCCTGCTAGCCACAGCTCTGCAGTGCACACAGAGGTAGTCAGCAGCACGTGACTACTGATTTCCTTGATTCAGCTGCTTGGACTACAGCACCCAATGGAATCACACTGAGGTTTTCTCTGTGTTTCCCCCAAGAACATGAAATTCTGATACGTGAGTGCAGGTATGTGTCTAATTACCCTCACTGTGCAGCAAAACCAGTTGAACAGCGTGTTTATAGAAACTGTCCTTAAGAGCGATTGCCTCTTGAAGGAGCATAACTCATATAAGAGGAGTGGGACTGTCTCCAGCCAGCCTGGGAGACGATGCTGAGAGCATATTGAAAAGCTGTCTTCAGCAGAAGCTTGCCAGTTTAACAACTCTGCTCACTGTTCCTATTGCACAGTGGGCTCTTTGACGCAACAGAAAGAGCTGCTTTTTTTTTTTTTTCCGTTTCCTCTTAAATCCGCCTGGCCAATTTAAACCTTGTGGATATTTCTTCCCCCTCGGGAAAAGCTTATGTGAGGATTTTCTTTTTTTTAACAGTTCATTCCGTGAAACCATTTTTTTTAAATTGTTTGCTGTTAGAAAATATTGGAGCTGAACACAAGGCTTTCATTGCAGGTCAGTGAATGAACTCTTGACCAAAGCATTTAACGCTTGAGTGTAGCTTTAGGAAGCACTGTCCTTCTGGAGGAAAAAGCAAGTTGGCAAGGTTGTATCATTTGAGCCCTTGTGTGCTTACACCAGCAGTAGGAATCTTTTCAGGTCTTTCGTGGCTGAGTTCTATGCAGATGAGTTTGCTGTCCTTACACTGTAGACAAGTATTTGATTATTTTACTGAAAATAGTAAGGTCACATCACAATTATGTCTATATAATCTAATTATTGATTCTCTACTCTTCAAAATGCAATAAACCTTACTGGCAGTTTCAAATATCAAGTTCTTTGCTCTTTTATTTTGAAAGGATTTTTTTTTTTGTGGTGATTTTTTTTTGTTTTTTTTTCTTTTGAACTTATTTTCAGCTTGCTTTACTGGGCAGCGTGCTGCCCCCTGAGCACGTGCTGTTTGCAGGGAAGATAGTTACTTATTTTGTATTTCTTCTTAGGTCGCTATCGAGAGAACTAAGAAAGGATGTAGACGTGGTGTTGATGTCTCTCTTAAGGCTGTGTCTGAGGTAAGACAATCCTCTTTCCCTATCTCTGAAATTAGAATATGAAGCAGAAGCAGTGTTTCTTTCACGTGTAGTTGCTAAATTTATCTGGTTGCTCTTTATTTTCCTTGTTGATATAATATGAATATTTTTCACTGAATGGTTTATTGTCTGTGATGCTTACAACCCTGTATTATTTCATCAGTACCAATTATGTGTATGTGTGTGTTTTTTATTAGCTGGTGTACCCTAGATTAATGATGTATCGTTCTGGTAATTGCTTTGGTTTTCTCCTCTAATATTACCCCATTAAGTCTGTAAGTGAGTGGGTTTCTTTCCTTGGGCAGGCAATTGTTACACAAACTTCACTAAACTGAGTTAGAAATGATTTCCACCGTGAATCACTTTCCTTGTAAGCTGATGACTTTTATGGTAATGTTTAACTTAGGCAGAATTGTTTTCAAATCCACAATGCACTATTGATGTATTCTTTTTTTTAACAGTACTTTAATTTTAAAAAAATTAGGAAAGTATTGATTCCTATCATGCTTTTTCCTTGTCTACTAAATGCTGCATGTTATGGGAAGTTTATCACTCTACAATGTTAAATTGCTATTATAATCAGTTCAGCTGGAAGGTGTCACTGCATCATTGGCCATTTGCAGCAGTCCTGAAAATGCAATTTGTATGGGACACTGCTGTTTATGACTTCTAGTTAGTGTCTGGAGAATTAGAAAATACTGCCACTTGTTTGTTTCTTTTCAAGCCATTTAAGATGTTGCCATTCAGGGAAGATTAATTCTTCTTCCTGTTCTGTAGGATGGGTACAATTCTTATGATTCATTGCATTTTAAATCAATTTGCTTGAATCTTTGAGGCATCTCTTAAAAGGGACAGCATTTTTTTAAGGCAGACAATACTATACTGCAGTTACAGGAAACTTTTTCATTTAGAAAATCATTCTAAACTTAGTTTGGCTTTTCACATCTCTGAAACTTTGGTTGTTTGAATTCCAAATAGTGTTGGCTTTGCTTTGGAGATCAGTTTCAGTGGTTTGTCAGGAGGTTTTTCAAATAAGATGGGGTATGGAATCATAAGGGGTGGAGTTACAGAGCTACAGTGACCTATTCTTAATCTTAGAATAATAACACTTCAAACATTTATAATTTTCTCAACTGGATAAATTCATTCAAAGGTGGTGTCAAGACCCGTTGAAGCTCAACTTTATTCAGTCAGCATCACACCAGATATTAGCATTTTCTGACATCTGTTTTTGGGAGTTACAAATCCTGCCTCAATGTGAACACACAATTTAGGTCTGGAACCCATTTGCCACTATTTTAAAGCTTATTTGCTGCAACTGAAGCTATTTCAAATTGACTTTGCCTTAAAAACTATAAAATGATGCGATGCAGTAAAATGATGCTGTATTATAGAGCGCGTTTTCTGAATCCTCCGTCAATGAATTAGATGGCATCTGGATTTTATCTGTATGTTTTGGGCATTGCTCTGCCAAAAGGGGTTTGTGGGGAAGAAGGAGAGCTGATGTTGTCTTGTTGTGTTTCTTGAGATCTTTGAGGCGGGAGGACATGCTGTGGTATCTTACTGAATTGCATGCTTTTTGCTTACCACTAGGCACCAAAAGATATTTGTTCCTCCTGATGTGTGATGCCAGTGTTTGCCTAGACAGTGTAGCAGAGCTTGCAGGTTGGTGTTTTTCCCCTTGCATGCCCTGTGCCATCGTCATCTGGCCGCTTGTTTTATTATCCTAGTGACATGGTCTGTCACTTTCTCTTGCAGAAAGTGGAACTGTCTTTACTGGCAGAGTGGTCAGAGGGGAATATCATGCAAAGAGGTGAAGGGAAGTGGAGAAACACTCCATTCTGAGAATGTTACAGGTAGAGGTACATGAGACAGAGGGCTGTTGAAAGTAGCACAGAGCTACGTGTTGCTGTTTAGTTAGACTTGTTGAGCACGAACTAAACAGTTTAAGGACCACTGAATAGATGGCAATGCATGTGTTGCATGTGTGGTAAGTTAGCTTCTCCTTTATCAGGGTGTAAATATTGATGAAGACTATCGTGTGCATTTTAGACTGGTTGTGTGAATGCAGCCTCTGTGAGGGCCTCTCGGCACTGTTATAATATTACTAATAACGAGACATGTCTGAAGTCATGTCTTGGTCTGAAGAGAGGCCTTTGGCAGCGTGCCATGCTGCTGGAGGGCCTGCCTGAACTCCAGTGGTTTTGCTTATTCATGCAATTGAGTGGGACCCTTTCATTGCATCTTGATTGCATTTAGCCTCAAGAATAAAGACTGAGATAAAAAATACCATACCCTGAACGTTTCCACAGCCTCTGGGGAGCTTAAAGAACTCAGTGACAGTTATCAGCATCTGCTTCAAGAAATACCATGAGCCCATTTTATCAAGCTGAAAAAATTTTATTTGTTGTGTTGTGTGGTATCTCAGCTTCAAAAGAAGCATAAAAAGTTACGGCCTCAGGAGAGGGTTTCCACTCTTACTGGTTCACTGAGTACTCATTTAAGCTACAGCTTTAGGTAGTAATTGCTGAGGGATTCGTTAGGAAACAGACACAACAACCAGGCACTGTGCTTGGAATTCTTAATTGTGATATTCTTCATATGGATGCCTGCTGTGAATTTCCTAGTGACTGGTGGGTATGAGGAAAAAAAATCAATCATGAAGTTTTGCAGATTGCTCTTGCTTTTTTTCAGGAGAACTTACTTTGGCCTTTGCTTTGAAGGGCCAGCAGTACAGTCACTTCAAACTGCATTCTAACTACGTGGGATGGAAAAGAGGATTGTGGACTGTTTGCATCACCTTCGTAGATTGTCAAAGACAACTCAGGCCACATAGTTCCTTTCCTTTACTAGAATTTATGGAAGAAATGAATGGGCAGTTCTGGAAAATTATTGGTTTTATCTCTCTATGTTCCTTATACTGAAAGAAATAAAAAGCAATAACTTCTTCTTTTTTTCTTTTTTTTTTTTTCTTTTTTTTTTTTTTTTTTTTTTTTTTTCAGTGACTAGCTCAGTTTCTTTATTTTAAAACAGTTGTTTGGATTCTATTTTCTGGTTCGTCATCGATGGGTTTATGTATTTAAGCTTGACTGTATGCTAACTTGGTTCCATGCCAAGCCATGAAAGCCAATGAGATGAATGTTCATGAGAGCACTGTACATCATTAGCATTGTACGTTGTACAAGCAGCATTAAACAAGGCACGGATCTTTGACTTGAGTTAAACTCTGAGGTTTTCTGCAGAACCACAGAAGGTATCTGGCCATTCAGCCAGCTTAATTGGTGGCTTGCTCCCTGCTCAAGAGAAGGCCTTACGGAGGTGGTGGTAGGAAAGTAGTAGGAACAACTGGACTGCATGGAAAAACTTGAGCATCCAAGTAAGCTCCTTTATACTAGTGACCTCCATCAGCTAGGCAAGAAGATAAGGTGTGGGGGGGAATCAGAAGGAAAAGGTTTTCATCTTTGTTAGCAAGTAGACAGGGAGAACTTTGATTTCCAAGTGTGTACCTGGGATGAAGTGGGCTTCCTTTGTTTAGGTGAGTAGTTGTAGTCTTCACATTGACTTGATAACAGGTAGATATAAACCAGCTATTTGGGTGTGGGCATCACCCTGCTATTCATAAATAAAAGAATAGCTGAGGGCTGACAAGAAATGTTATGGAAGAGAAATCCTGAGGAGAGAAGAAAGCAATTTTTTCCTTTTTCCTCTCCACTGTGTGACTGAAAGTGGTCCTGTGAATTACTGGCAAGATGATGTGGAACAATATGCACTCCAGCAACCTTGGAACGGTGTGTGAAGACTCCTGGGAACTGTTTCTACTGGAAAAGGTTGAGGCAGCAATTGGCTTCTGGCTTGGTATTTCTGAGAAGTTTTTGGTGTTTTTTTTTTTTTTTTTTTTTTTTTAAATTAAAGCTATAAATAGTTGTCAGTTCTTCAACCGAATAATCCTGTTCTCTTTCTCTCCAGGGTGAGAAACTGAATCTAGATTTCCAAAGCCAAAAGTCTGCCTCCAATATCGGTGTTAATCATCTGTTTGTAACGTTGCTCAGATTTTGAGGGAATGCTCTTATGGTTTTGTTGTATGTAGTGGGATGACTTAACAGGGCCTGTGCAGAAGGCCACTGGCATCTGATTAAATACAGAAAGGGCTCCTGACCACATGCACTAATGCAGGTGTCTTCAGTGGCTTTTGCATTACTCAGCCCAGCCCCAGCTGTGGTGGTCGCTGGTTTGTGTCTCACTCTTATAGTTTGCTGAGATGCAAATGGTGAAAGGTAAGGTACTGCATCTCCTATACTGCCATTTCTTGCTACAGACTGCTGCTGTCACTATATGTGGGACTATGTGATATGGAGTGTTCAGTCCTGAAGGTGTTAATTTTTTTTCTTTTTAAATCCTTACTTAACTCACAGCATGCGTGTTTCTCTGTGAACGTATATTGGAAAAGATAGCTGTGGTAGTGCTGGCCATGGTGATCATAACTTAAGTAGCATTACGTGTGCTAATCAATCAGTGTTGGAATAAAGGATGCATTGTTAGTGCGTTTCGAAGGATGCATTGTTAATGCTTTTGTTTTGACTTGTCATTATAGCAGTTACGCAGTCCTTGCTAGGGCTGTTGGTTTTTAACTCATCTAGTTCAGACAGTGTCATCCTTCTCTCAGAACATGGCTTTCTGTACTTGGGATCTTTGCCTTTCTGTATCCTACAACTCATGTATTCATTAATATTCACAGTGAACACATAGGTACTGACGTCCTTCACAGTGGGAAGCTTTGAGCTGTATGGATTTGGAAAAGAGAGGTTTTACTCTGGCACGTGAAACAGTCTTTCCTGTGTGTGCTTTTAATGTAGAACCTGTACGTAAGAAAAGCACTGCTTTTCAGTTAGATTAGCCTGAAAATAGAAGTAACAGTTTTGAAGCACACTTTTTACAGGGAACTTTTTTTCTGTGAGAAAGCGAAGCCTCTTAAGCTCAGGCAA